ACCGATTGTCCATCTACTTTGCCTGAGAGAGTATGAACATTAGCTTCTAAGTTTCTTGAAATACATTATATCGAAACAAACCAAGGAAAAGTGCAATTTGTCACGGATAGATACCATTTAGGGATCGACAAAGTACATTGAATAGCCAGGAAAAAGTATTGTGAGTTCGGTATATATATACTTTGAAAAGATTTTCATTAATAAAATAATTCGAATATTTAAGTCAGGTTTTCCAAAGTTTTTGTCCTTTTATTCCAGACTCGAATGGACTTGTGTAACAGTTGAGTTCATAGTCGAAACTTAATTATTGCTTCACATTACGGTGCGAAGCTATAGTTTCATTCGATAGACACGCCGTCTTAAAATTATTACTTAACAAATATTGGTTCTGAATGATTGCCTATGATGTGGCTAAGGTTCTTTTTGCTAGAATGAGATGTACATGTATAACTGGGAACATGTTGCAGGCATGAACATATATTAACGATAAAAAGATAAAAATACATTTACAGTATGGGTAACTGAGTCATGACTCGATCAACAATTATTGCTTCCTGTTGAAAGTCATTGAAGATACTGCAAAGCACTCCGTACCTTTTTTTTATTTAGAAAGGTCAAACTTGTGCGATTATTGGTTTTAATAAAAAAAAATGATTATAGACCATTTTAGCAGTACATAAACAACCAAAAGACTGACTAACAAAGAATCACACCTCAAATAACGAAAGAAAACAATGGTTGCAGAAACAGTCTAAGATAAGTTTAAGACACTTAACAAACAACTCACAAGCATAATCACAAAATCAGTGTAAATTTAATACCACACCAGCCGTCACTAGCAAGTAAAATGAGAAAAATCACAGTCACCAAAAAGGAAGTCGAAAGAATACACTTATTTAAACAGTGTATTCAGAAATCAAACAAGCTGAGTTGAAAAAATGCCAACATCTGTCCATCATTAAGAAAAACGATATAGAAATCCCAAGTTATTTAAGACCGAGCTCACTCAAATGAATTTTATGCATACTATTGGGACATATCAGTTGCTCAAATTTGATGCAGCAACATTGTCAACAACAGACAACGCGCCAAAAGGAAACACCATATCTTCGGGACTCAATTTGTAAATGTTATTCACGATTTGGGTAAGTGCCAATGGCAACCGTCCGACAACAAGTTTACATCTTCATTATAAATTTCGAAAAGACATTTGACACGGTGCCATATAAAGTACTGAATATGCTTTGTTGTAAATTAGAGCAATTCTTGCGATTCAGCTGTACTTGCAGGATTTCCACCACGGGACAATACTAAGGCCAATCATCTTCCTCGTCCATATTATCGACATCATGGATCATGTGAAAACAATAAAGAACATGTATAGTGAACACCTTCACAGAATTCCGGCCAAGACGGACACTTGAATTTCAGTTTCCTACCAAACACAATCTTTACCAAAATTATAAGGGAATCCCAAGTTGTAAGTAAATTATTAACCTTGATAGATCCGCGATGTAGTACGGTATGGTCATTGGATGTGAGGAAGCAAGTTAACTCGTACCATTGTTAACTCGTACCACGTAAACTCGTACCAAAAAAGTTAATTCGTACCAACGTAAACTCGTACCACTGGGAAGTCGTACCAATCAGAACTCGTACCACTGCAAACTCGTACCATTAAAAATATTCAAAAATACGAATGTTTTATGATTTTTTTTTTTGGTAAACTAAATAAAAAAAGTTGAATTACTTGAATTTTATACTAGATTTTAATGAAAACTTAGACAAAAATACGAATGTTTTTATGATTATTTTTTTTTTTAAGCTTTATACAAAAAATTAAAATATCTTTGAATTTTATACCAGATTTTAATGAAAACTTAGACAAAAATACGAATGTAATTTCTTAATTACCATGCTTATACATAAATTAAATGTGACATCGTATCCAGTTAACTTAGACACCTTGATGTTACCACAAGCAGAGACATATAATACATATATGTCTCTGCCACAAGTAAGAACATTAACGGTGAAAAATTTACTGTAGCCGATGCGCATTTCGACAAATAATGTCTATTTAGTGATGCTCGAGGACAATATATTTGAAAAAAAAACCATCTACAAACGTCGTTGAAAGGTGACAAATGAAAAAAAAAACCTAAAGTATGGACTAATCCGGACAAGGAACCATAGCTTTGCACGAGGGATATATATTATAGTAATGTAATATGTTTTCCAAAGTTTAACAACAGCTAATTTCAATCATATAAATAGTATTCTTGTGTTTGTTGACATGTTTCAATGTTCAGGAATTTCTTATTTAATTTTATTTCAATGAGTACGAATATTTTAACCTAGTTTTTTGGGGAAACAGAAATAAAGAGGGAAAATGAAACTGTAGATTATAGTGAAAATCAAATTTATTATGATAAAGTAGAGGCAAAAAAATGAGGTTTTCGAATATCATAAAACCGCAAGAAGATACAAATCAAGGTAAAAACAAAAACTTAGGGAATGAATTTATCGAGACCGGGCGCGTTTGAAATGGCAGGCAACTCTTGCTATGCATGCACGCATCATCCATCAAACGAATCCACACTCATTATCAACCCAGTGGTAGTAATAACATTAACGGTACCTATTTTACTGCACTAGATGCGCATTTCGATAATTAGTGTCTCTTCAATTATGCTTGGGTCCAAAATATTTAAAAATCCAAAACCTAAAATAAACGTTGAAGAGCTGATAAAACAAAAAAGGACCAGAAGTAAATCCAAACCCTTCGGGACTAACAGTCCACCCACCAGCAGAGGTATCAGCTCAGTGGTAAATAATGAGACGACATCGTTGGATACATTCTGTAATTTTCTTTAAAATAAGCAAGGTTTCACATGTTTATACAATAATTTCATAGTGCACTTTAGAAGTCAACTCTTTCAAAAATATCACAAAATGATATTAGAACCATGTAACTACTCAATATAGATAAAAGTACGAAAATTCGTTAAAGCTTTCAAATAAAACAAAATTTCCGACATGTGATATTATATTGTTTCCTAACACACTTTTGCAGAGCTAAACAATAATTCCAATTTTGCTTTTTTATTAAATAAAATGCTCCACAGGGCGCAGCTTGATACGACCGACCACAGAGGTCGAACCCTGAACAGTTGGGGAAAGTATGGACACAACATTCTAAATTGATACAGCTCTGAATTTGATTTGTGATTTAATATTTGACACAGCATAAATTTCTGACACATAATGAATGTGGTCTAAGAACTTAAAAATCAGAAATTAGACATTTACCTATTATGGTCCAATTTTCAAAATCTAAATACATGGTTAGATTCAGCATATTAAAGAACCCCAAGAATTCAATTTTTGATAAAATTAAACAAAAAAAGTGTAATTATGGAGCCTTTTATCCCGGTTTGGACCAACTTGAAAACTGGGCCCAAAATCAACAAGTATTCTGTGAGTATTGCCTGGCAATACATAGTCCACTACCGGTTAAAAATTCATTGTACTGGAACAAAATGCTAACTTGATCTATAACTTGTCATGGTGTAAACTATATAACAAATACCAAGTTAATATCTTCAAGCATGACGAAAAAAAATGTGGAAAATTGATTATTTGAGTGAATTTTCTAAGTCCAAGGACCATAACTCTGCTCAAAATCATCAGACTGGAACAAAATTCGAACTTGATCTGTAACTTGTCATGATATAACTATAAACCAATTATCAAATCAATATCTTCAAGCATTACAAAAATAAGAGCGGAAAACTGATTATTTGAGTGAATTTTCTAAGTTCAAGGACCATAACTCTGCACAAAATCGTCAGACCGGAACAAAATTAGAACTTGATCTGTAACTTGTCATAATTGAACAATACACCAAATATCAAATCAATATCTTTAAGCAGGAAGAAAAAAAAATGTGTAAAACTGATTTGCCGGACTGACGGACGGACAGACAGACAAGACAGACAGACAGACAGACAGACAGACAGACAGACAGACAGACAGACAAACAGACAGACCTAAAGTCCCCATCGACTTCGTCGGTAGGGGACTAAAAATATATATACACGGTTAGCTTCAGCATATCAAAGAACTTCAAGAATGCAATTTTTGTTAAAAACTAAGTTTAATTTTTTATCCTTCGGACCTCATTGTGGAACAATATAAAAACGGGGCCCAAAATAAAAAAATATAAATACACGTTAAGATTCAGCATTTTAGAGAACCTCAAGAATTCAAGACTTTGAATTAAACCCCATTGAAATTGGTTAAGAAATAATCAATTTATACAAAGTATTAGAAAATTATTGTTTTGGCCCCTTTTTCCTAAACGGTTAAGCCATAACACCCAAAATCAATCCCAACCTTCCTTTTTTTGGTATTGCACCTTGTGGTACTCAAGTTATTGTCCGGAACCAGAAAATCCTTATTTTGTTGGGCCCTTTTTGGCCCCTAATTCCGAAACGGTTTGGGTTATTACCCTCAAAATCAATCCAAACCTTTCTTTTGAGGTATGGAACCTTGAGGTACAATTTCATAGAAATACATGCATACACTTATACACAAGTTATTGTCCTGAAACAAGAAAAATGCTTGTTTTTGGCCCCGAATTCCTAAACAGTTAGGACAATAACCCCAAAATTAATCACAACCTTCCTTTCTTGGAATGGAACCTTGTGGTATAATTTCAAAGAAAAAAAAATCATATAAAAATAACAATTGAATAAAAATTTAACGATGTTACAAAATTTTATTCAAGTTACAAAATCACTTATCAAACTAAAGCCTCATTTTTTTCGAAGACAAGCACGGTAACACATTTTGTTATTTTGTATGTTTTTAAATATCTCATTTTGCCCTATATCAAAACTCAAAATCATAAAAAACGACATCCCTTATGCAGTCGACTTCAGCGCTTTTGTCAACGTCAAATTATAACTATGTGACGGAAATAACATAACAATTCATTTCAATTCAATATTTTAATTTCGTCTAACCTTATGCATACACTTATACAATACAATATAAGATTACATAAGATACATTTTTTACACATATTGACATAAGCCAATCTGTATAGAATTATGAGAGACGATAACAACTAAAACAACATGTATATATATACATTAACAATTAAACATGAATGAAAAAAATATACAGCATAATTGTGATGTTATTTACAGTATAAACACCCCCCTCTCTCTCCCACGTCTAAATTTGCAAAAGCACTTCTTTCACTAAAAGTCATCAATAGTTTACAGTAGGTTTCAACAATATAATCCTGGTTAAAAATAGTATAAGTTCTCAACTTGTTTCGCCCATTACCTCGTCTGGAAGAGGATGAATAAACAATGCTTTTCCATTCATCAATATATTTATCAAACATTTTTGACACGACTGTATCAACAAAAAGATTTTTATTAACATTAGTGTTGGTATTGCAAAAGTCAACCAACTCAAGTTCAGTGGACTGTTTTTTAACCATGACATTTTAATTTTTGACAATTTTATGCTTAAGACTGACCTCATCTGCCCATATAAATAGTTTCTTATTCGTACGATCTGGCTCCATGTTTAGTAATCTATGACAGTGTCTTGCAATTACCTTCCATTGTGTATGATAAATTGGAATCCACCCCATGTCTCCCATGACAGATGCGTTGGGTGTGTATTTACCTACACCAAGGTAAAATCTACAAGCTCTCGTCGGAATCGGTTTAATATGAAAAATTCTTGCAGCCCCATTTTGCGGCGCCATATTCAACAATAGGACTTAAGCGAAAGAGTGTGTCCTCTCTGTGATTCGATGGACATCGGTGACGAATACCACTCTATTATGTCATGTATCTATTTTAATAATGCTAGAAAAAATCTGCTTACCCCATTTTGTCATGAAAATGTAAACATTTAAAAGTTTGAACAACTATGTAATCATATTAGATAAACTTACTGTGTAAATGTATTAAGAACGTCCACGAGAAGGTCGTTCCTCCATGTTAGAAATTTTTAGTGTTTATTATATGATGTAATTCACACATGCACTATATATTTGTATATTGTCAATATGTATATGTTCTCTGTAACATTTTGTTTTATGATAATAAAGAGTTCATTCATTCATTTGAATCTCTATTGAGAAAGCTTTGTTCAAAAGATACAATAACTGATTTCATATTTTTTTTAATTCCAATTGAAAAGTGGTGATAATGGACTGCTTCTCTTCCACATCTCTATAACCGATAGTCTCGGTCTGAGAATTACAACGGTCTCATTTTGATCAAATCACATGAATGCAAAATTTCAAAAATTTCCACGGCCCTCTTATTACCAGTGACTTCACATTATTTTACATTTTTCGCCTCTTTTCTGCATCTCTGCTTCATAAACTTCAACCTCTTTAATGTACGACAATGGAGGCCAACGATGTTCTTCAACATGATCTTTGTTCTCTCCTGTTAACTTGGAAAAGTCTTGTCTCTTTTCAAAAGCTATGTAGTTGGAAGAAATGAAATGTAAACACCACCCAGCTAACTGATTAGCGTTGAAAGCCTGAAATAAATTAAATTACCAGTATATAGATATAGGAAGATGTGGTATGAGTGCCAATGAGACAACTCTCCATCCAAGTTACAATTTATAAAAGTAAACCATTATAGGTCAAGGTACGGCCTTCAACACGGAGCATTGGCTCACACCGAACAGCAAGCTATAAAGGGCCCCAAAAAATTACTAGTGTAAAACCATTTAAACGGAAAAACCAACGGTCTAATCTATATAAAAACGAGAAACGAGAAACACGTATGAACTACATAAACAGACGACAACTACTGTAATCGCATATTCAACTTGAACTGTCTTAACTAAGATGCACCTGATACCATAAAATTCCTCGGTTACAATGCTTTATTTAACAACAAATTGATTTTTCGAATATATAAAAAAATGGCTACACGTGATGCCACAATTCATTTGTTTGGTGTCAAAAAATGTGTTGACTGACAAACTGTAAACCAACTTATTTTCGCTGATACTTTATTTCGCGTTTAGCTCTTTCTAGCCCACTTCGCAATCACATCAATTTTCCTAATGTATCAATGAAAGAGTTACCTGTGCTGTGAACAATAGACCAATCACATCAATCTCTGATGTATCAATGGAAGAGTTACCTGTGCTGTGAGCAATAGACCAATCACATCAATCTCTCAATGAAAGAGTTACATGTGCTGTGAGCAATAGAATCTCTGATGAATCAATGGAAGACTTACCTGTGCTGTGAGCAATAGACCAATCACATCAATCTCTGCTTTTTCAATCCGTTTTGTGACACTTTTATCCACCTCTTTTGTTATATATAATTCACACAGATCAACTAATCGAGACTGTCCGTATTCATCTGCCAATACCATAATACCAACAGAATCAGTTTCTTCGATTGGAGCATGGTCTGTATACATGTATTCCAACAATGCAATAAAACATTCCACTGATGTGTTTGGTATTTTCACCTTAAATAAGTAAGAAGATGACATAAAACCAGTCATACTACACAACATCATGGGAAAAAACTTGAAGATAGGAAAAAAATTGTAAATGAAGATTAAGCAACTTACACCCTTATATATGAAATTCAAATGTTATACCAGTATTGTTGCTCATGACCAATGAACGACAATTAGCATGTTGTGTAAGGTTATATAATAAGAATGGGATTGTGGCTACGAATAATGATCTATAATATAACATTACATGAAAATCTGTTACATAGATATTCCTTGACGATCAACGGAAACATGATGGCGTTTTTAAAACTTTCGAAAAGATGATTTCGACTTTACCCGCAAGAAACCTTATAGTTTAGGAGTTTCCTTGAATGTAAAAAACCCTCTATGATGGAAACCATGTCAGAATATCGTATCAAATGAGACATATGTACACTTTATGAATGTGCTGCTGGAAATTTACTGGATAAATATTGAAAGTTCCCTTGACACTTTTACCTTAAAGATATTAAGAAATCTTATTTTGTTTGTGGTTACTTTCTAGGTTAAAGTTTAGTGGCATAGATGGTATCAACATATAACTAAACCAAAACCAAAATTATGCTGAAAGTTAAGCTATGTACTGTCTTCCATATACAAATTAATTCATTTGTTTCTACCTCTTTGAATCATTGACAAGGGCTGATTATAATTTTGAATTCCTTCGCAGATATTTGAATACTCGAAACCTAGTGCCGTTTTGCCATCAGTTCCCGCATAAGTTGATCCCTTTGTTCAATAACACAATATTTTCTCACTTTGCGACTTCGTCAGATTTTCTTATTCATCCTCACTGTGTTGTTTTTCATTCGATAATTTAACAGTTTTTTTTCTATTTTATGATAAATTCGAGTTGAAACTTATGTGTCGTTACTTTTGTTGACTTATATATATGAAAAATTAAATTACCTCTGTTAATGTTTCAGTGTCACTTTCCACAAATTTTCCACCAAACATAGCTGCCATAACAGAACATCTGGCACACAGTACCACTTTACTGGCATAAATACTCTGATCTAAAATACAAATGGTTTTGACACAACCCAATCACGTTTAAATATTACCTTATTTAAGCATAAAATATACGATATTCTTCATATTTGAAGAGATATTTTACAATAAATCGTACAGAAAATTACCTCAGGTAATATTAATTGAATGTTCTCTTTATTCTCAAAATATAAAAATAAGAAGATGTGGTATGATTTCCAATGAAACAACTCTCCTCCAGAGACCAAAATGACATAGAAGCTTACAGCTATAGGTCACCGTACGGATTTCAACAATGAGCAAAAACCCATTCCGCATAGTCAGCTATAAAAGTCCCCGAAATGTCAAATGTAAAACAATTCAAACGAGAAAACTAACGGCCTGATTTATGTACAAAATAATGAACGAAAAACAAATATGATATACAGAAACAAACGGCAACCACTGAATTACAGGCTCCTGGCTTGGGACAGGCACATACAGAATGTGGCGAGTTTAAAGCAGTTTGTTTTCGCTAAACCCTCCCCTAATCTGGGACAGTGGTGTAGCAGTACAATATAAGAACAAACTATAAAACCCATCAGATCGATACAAAGCAGAAACACATCTAACAAAAACAGACCGGACGTGGCAGGGTATTTATACATCCCCACAACAAAAAAGACACTTAAGTACAGATCTGAGAGTACTCGCAGTTACTGACAGCTAGTTCAAAGCCAATAACAACTAACAAAATATCATACATCTAAGACTAAAATATCAATCAGTACACATCCAACATCCAATGTATTTAGTGTAAAGACGTCATTATAGTAAAACAGCCAGTGAAAATCATGACCCTGTGCAACGCCAAGATACAGGTATCAACAGATTGTACAGCCATGAATGTACATATGTATGTAAAAATAATAATAGCCGTATTGCCGTTCACACTTAAAATGAAGAAAACTTTATTTTCAAATTTTAAGTATGACATACATGTCTTGTATATCAACATATATCAGAGATTTCTTTGTGGAATTAATCGTTGCCACATGCATGCATAGTTCAAGTCACTGATTCGATGGCTTTTTTACAAGACTAGCAGTGGCGGATCCAGAAATTTTCATAAGTGGGGGCCCGCTCCAGTCATGCTTCAGTGATTCCCTATATAATCAACCAATTTTTTCCCACAAAAGGGGGGGGGGGGGGGGGCGGGCCTCCTGAGCCCCCTCTAAATCCGCCTCTGACTAGTGTGAAGAAAGTTGTCTCTTTGTTAAGGGCAGTAGTCAGTTAAAAACGTTAATTACTTCGAAAATCTTTTCAGAAATTTAATTATGCATAAGAGTTACCTTCGACCCTAAATATGACATCACAGAAAGATGGTTGGTTAAAAAACAAGGATTTCATTTCCTTTCCAGTCTCATCGTTGAGATAAGTACCAATACTCGGATTCAGAAAGTCTTCCTCATTCTCAATGTTTCTGCAAATAGTTTCCAGCATTGACAGTTTGAATATTTTTGCAACTCGACATAGTTCCTGTAATTCTGGCAAATCCTCATTAATTTCTGGAATCTTTGGAACACCTAAACATTAATAAAATAATTCAATGAAATGTATGTCTTAGAAGAAATCGATTCCAAATTTTTATTTTATTGGTGAATGATACATTCTACAAGGTCTGTCATTTAAACTTTATATTGTACACGCATCAACAATCGAGTGTAACAGATTTATGACATTTATAGCCTTGCTGCAAAAGTTTTTAATCTGAGACTTTAATTGCAACACAAGCATTTCGAAACAACTGAGAAATATGCACTCTAAATAGCTACAAGAAAGAGCAAACCGTAAAGTCATCATCATTGAAAGGGAAAATAACTATTTAAAAAAGGGAAAGTAATTTCGTCATCAATTTAGGTCTAAAATTAATCCTCGAAAAATTCCATTATTGAAAAAAAAATCACTAATAATGTTGGATTTAGTGAGAGCCAGTAGAGATTGTAACGTTAAAAAAATTGGATAGTCATATAAATATCTTCAAGTATTGTCGAAAATATCTTATAACTGTGTTTCTTTGGGTCTTTATGAAGTTCAGACATAAATTTTAGCAAGCTGGTTTCTCAATTAAACAAGAATATACCACTGTGTCTAAACTACCCCGGCAAAAAATGTTTGGACTCGATAGTATCTAATGTCCGGTACGGTGACGGAAAATCAACAGACAGAGAAAAGGTAGAATTTCTATTTATTTATTTGTTTTTTAATGACATTGAAGAATAAACATACACATATAACTATTTTCGATTGTGTGATGTAATATTTTCTACAACCGTTCTAGACTAATGGAGAAATAAGTAAAAAGGCACATGAAAATGGTGAATTGAGTGAACCTTGCTACGAATTTGTTTAATTTCTTTTTAAATTGTGCACATTGTACGGAAAGAAAAGTACGGAAAGAAAGATATTAACACAGAGATTGCATGGCTAGTCACTATGAGCACCTCAATATTTGCATTTCTGTGCATGGAACGGAAGAAATGGGTCATGTCAAAATGGAAGGACCCTGTTTCGTCAATGTTGTTTATTATACAAGGACCCTGTTTTGTCTCAGTATAGGACCCGGTTTTGTTTTGTTTTGAAACCACAAATTTATGAAAAGCTACGTTAGCACGGATCTAGACATTGCCCATCGGAAGAAATTAAATATTTGAGTCAAAAAGATGTTATACAGATGTAATTGCAATACAAACATGTGTTAAAATATATTTCAAACGGGAACTTTTCGAAATAGGGAGTAGACATTTTTGAATGCTATACGTATACCTTATTGATCTTATCTTCGAACTAAGTTTAAATGGAAATAAATACTTTATATCATGTACTTACATTAATTCCTTATGATAGAAAAAAGAAGATGTGGTGTGATTGCCAATGAGACAGCTCGTCACAAGAGATCAAATGACACAGAAATTAACAACTGTAGGTCGCCGTACGGCCTTCAACAGTGAACAAAGCTCATACAACATAGTCAGCTATAAAAGGCCCCGAAATGACAAGTGTAAAACAATTCAAACGAGGAAACTAACGGCCTAGTTTATGTACAAAAAAATGAACGAAAAACAAATATGTAACAGCAACAAACGACAACCACTGAAATACAGGCTCCTGGCTTGGAACTGGTAAATATATTCAGAATGTGACGGGGTTAAACATCTTAGCGGGATCCCAACCCTCCCCTAACCTGGGAAATTGGTGTAACAGTACAACATAAGAACGAACTATAAAAATCAGTTGAAAAAGGCTTAAGTCATCAGATGGATACAAATAGAAATACATCTCAAAAATGTTTGTTTGTTTTCTATACTACTGTAATGATGTAAAAATAAGAAGATGTGGAATGATTGTGTTACCATATCAATTTATCAAAAGAGTAAGGATAGTATGCTTTACTACACTATACGCTATGTTTACAATATATTTACTCATTCGTTCATGACGGACAGTGAGAGAAAAAACTCCGTTTTGATGGCCGTACTTTGACCTATAATGGTTTACTTTTACAAATTGTGACTTGGATGGAGAGTTGTCTCATTGGCACTCATACCACATCTTCTTATATCTATTAGAACGTTTTGGATATCTCAAATCAAAATGGTTGCCTTTCGAACATGTATTTTATGTCCGCTTCGAAATACACAAGTTCTAAACTTCCCCATTAGAAACAAAATAATTCTATCATGCCATGCTCTACGCTCATTTTAACATAGGTAGGCATTATATTTGTCAATATTTTATACCTGGCTAACGCTTGGTTTAAAAATTTTAATAAATATAATGCCTTCCTATGTTAAAATGAGCATTGAGCATGGCATGAAAGAATAATTTCTTTTTATAAATAAAAGTTGCATGGTTTGCAACATTATAACGTCCAATATGTTCGTCTTCGTCTTCGTAGAACAACCTAATTGGCAATTTAGCCGGTGAAAAATGACAATGAGACAGCTTTCCATCAGAGACCAAATGACGTAAAAGTTAACAAATATAGAACACCGTATGGCATCCAACAATGAAAAACGCCCATACGGCATAGCAAGCTAAAAAAGGCCCCGAAATGAAAACTGTAAAAAAAAACTTATGTGAAAACTAACGACCTAGATTTATGTACAAAATAAAAAACGAATAACAAATACATGTATGATATACAGCAACAAAAGACAACAACCGATTTACAGGCTCCTAGATTCGCCCCCCCCCCCCCCCCCACGCTCCCCCTAAAAAAAAACAAGAAAAAAACTGGTATAACAGCACAACATATGAACAAACTATAAAATTCAGTGAGTTGAAAAACGGCTTAACTCATTTGATTACAGAGCCCCTATAGTAAATATGCGATTGGCGGCTGTCTCTGTTTTTTCGTCTTTTATTAAATTTTATGATGGTATACGATATAGTTACATTATATCAGTGGCGGATCCAGGGGAGTAGAGGGAGAACGCCGAACCCCCCCCCCCCCCCCTTTTGGTGGCTAGAAATAATTATTTTAACATGTTTTTTACGATTTATATATGATTTTTTATTTAGCATAAAATCGTTAGAAAAAAGTTCCCCTTGCTACGCTCAGCGGTATAAAATCCGTTTATGAATACGCCCCTTTAAAAAATCATGGCCTCGGTCCGCCCTTGCATATTGACAATTTTAAACTTGACCAAATTGCTTCAATTGTAGAACATTTGTCAATGTACGATAATCATTATACAATGAAGAGATAAACCTATATATAATAGTTGTACTATATAGGGCAGTTGTTAACAACTTGATACTAGTGCATTAAAGAATTTGTAAATGTTAAAAAAAAAAGAAAAGAAAAAGAGTGATAAAACATCGTTTATTTATAAAAATCACTAATCAAATGATCATTATTGTAATTTCCGGATGGCCTAAGACTTTTATACTAATTTATACTTAGCATTATTGTAACAAGGAGGGGTAAACAGATTTTTAACGCACTATTATTGTGATCCTTTGCGCCGCATGGAAATTCCTTTTCTTGGGCGATTCTGCATGCACATACATTTGTCTTATTCTCTTGCTTTATAATGAACGTTTAGTTTCAGAATATTTATTTTCAAACGATTATACTGTCTTCCCTTTAACTAGAGCGGACACTAAGATAACCATCTTGTTGCCCCAGAAAATCCCATATCAAATGTGCGTCCTTAAATTTTCAAAGCCGTACACTAATTAACACTTAAATTTGCATAGATGATATAAAAAAATCTAATTCCGTTTCAAAACCTTCATTTCTTTTTAATTTTTCCTTTTTTTTTTTATACAAAACAAAATTGAAATTTGCTTTGTTCTAATATAGCAGGAATTCAAGTGTTTACGGATTCAAAAAGGTTATAAGTCATCCTCTGAAAGAAAATGTTTTTCAACGATCCCTCAAACTGCTGTTGAACGCCATATTTTAATTTTTCGTCATGCGATTATGCATTATTTTCTATGACAAAACCGGTTCTGCTTTGTGAAATTTAAGGACAAAACCGGGTCGTACACATTGACAAAACCGGGTGCTTCAATTTTGACATGACCCACTTCTTTCATTCCATGCACAGACATGCAAATATTGAGGCGATCATAGTGAAAAGTCTTGACATCTCCGTGTTAATATCTTTCTTTCCGTACCTTTCTTTCCATACAATGTGCTCAATTTAAAGAGAAATTAAACAAATTCGATGTAGGGTTCAATCAATTCACCATTTTGATGTGCCTTTTTACTTATTTCTCCATAAATCTAGAACGGTGGTAGAAAATATTACATCACACTATCGAAAATAGTTATATGTGTATGTATATTCTTCAATATCATTAAAACAACATATAAATAAACAGAATTTCTACATTTCTCTGTCTGTTGATTGTCCGTCACCGTACCGGACATTAGATACTATTGAGTCCAAACATTTTTCGCCGGGGTAGTTTAGATACAGTGTATACGGTAACGTAAAAAAAAAAGGTTGGTTGTAATTATAAAACTGAATACTTTAGATTGTACTTTATTTACCTGTGTATATGTACTTTATTTACCTGTGTATATGAATTCTAGAACCCGTGCAAATGTTTTAGCAGTAATGTTTGCACTTATTTCAACCGTTATCATTGTTTTGTTATCCTCTTCAGTTAAATAAACTGCTGCAATGCCTTCTATTCTACCAGAATTTAACTCTTCATGAGATATTTGTTTATTGTCAACATTTTTAATCTGATTCTAAAAAAAGAAAATCAAAGCATAATATAATTTTTGATTATTTTGCATAATAACATTCTAATCTGTCAAACCAATGCCAAAATATTATAAAATAAGTCCTCAACAATATTGAAATTTCAGTTATGCAGAATAGTTGATATAACGCATATATTAAAGAATAAATTACCCATAAGAGACCCTAAAACTATTCTCTAAATCTGAAACAAGAATCATTATATATCTGATAATTTCTCAGCTGGAATCAGTTTATACATACTGTTGTATTGACAATATTAATTGGATGTAAGTTGTTTTTAAAAATGAGCGAAATTCACCAGCTCTGAATCTACTGTTATACATTAATTATTTCTTATATACTTACAATTTTACTATTTGGTAGTCCCAAGATTTGACAAAAGTATTTGGATGCAGAGCATAAAACAAGTTTATGTGCCTTAAGTTTTTGTTGTCCGTCTTCCAATAAAAAAGTAACATCTGAAAATTTTGGATCCTCTAATATTTTCTGCCAATCTTCTGCAAACGTCGAAGTTTCTATTTCTATCCAAGGAGCCTTTCCTTCAATAAAGCAAATTAAATGTAGACCAAACTTACTATAAATGATTTGAAAATTGAAATAAAAATGCAAATGTCATATACTAAACTTTATAAAAAGAAAAGCATAAAAAAACACATCTAACCCAAATGGAAACAGATTAAAATAACGTAAACGTTATAAAAAGTACATTACACAGTCAAGAAAGAAACAAATGGAAATTGATCATCTGACCTCCTTACCGATGGCATTACTGGTGAGGGAATGAGGGATCATTAGACTGACCTACCTATGACGTCAATGGAGATATAAGATCATTTGACTTTCCTGCTGGGGGCATCTCTGGATTAATGGGATCATCTGACTTACCTACCGATAGCATCACTGCGGATATATCTGGCTTACCTGCTGGATATATCACTGGAGAGATGTATCATCTGAATTACATACCGATAGAATCAATTGGAATATTTGATCATCTGACTTACCTATCGATATCAGCAATGGGGATATTCGATCATCTGACATACCTATCGATATCATCAGTTGGGGAAATAAGATCATCTGACTTGCCTATCGATATCATCAATGGGGATATTCTATCATCTGACTTACCTATCGATATCATCAGTGGGGAAATAAGATCATCTAACTGACCTTCTGATAGCATCAATGGGAATATCGGATAATCTAGCTTACCTAATGATAGCATCAATAGTGATATCATATGATCTAACTTAGAGATATAAAATCATCTGACCTTCCTACTGATGACATCAATGGGAATATAATATCATCTGATTAACCTACCGGTACCTTCAATGGGGATATAAGATCATTTGACTTGCCTATCGATAGTATCAATTGTGAAATAAGATCATCTGACTTGTCTACCGATAGCATCAATTGTGGTATAAGATCATTTGACTTGCCTATCGATAGCATCAATTGTGATATAAGATCATTTGACTTGCCTATCGATAGCATCAATTGTGATATAAGATCATTTGACTTGCCTATAGATAGCATCAATATGGATATACGATCATTTGGCTTACCAGTTGGAGGCATCACTGGAGGGATGGGATCATCTGGTTTCTTTTTCTTGAAAATTCCAAATGGCGACTTTGTTTTTTTCTTTTTTGTGCTTCCCACTATTCCGCATCGAATCTGACGGGAAAAAAATACGTCAGTTATATAATTTTTTTAAAATTTTGTCAGACATTGACGTTAGGCTACTTAGTTCGGCACAAGTTCCAAGGATTTGATGAATATGAATTTACTAGTAAATGCATTTTTACACTGAGACATCCAATTTCACAGAACGCATCTTTAATGACCACCAACGAACTGGGTGTTCCTTTACAAAATATAGTTATTGGTGAAAAGGTTTTATCTATACAATTTGAAATAAATACGTAGATAAATCTTTCATATATTTTTTTTAAATCATATTGCTCATATTAAGTAACCACAATTATGAGAAGTTAGACCGATGTGCCCGAAAACTTAGTAGTTAAACATTGGCAGATTTCAAGGAAATGATCGTTAGATTCTGTATGTACATATTAAATAGTTTTGTTAGTTTTCACAATCAGTGTGCACCAATTATTAATGTGTTAAGAAAATCAGTGTGATAGGACTTTAATGCATTTTCCGCGATTAATAATGACAGTTCGACAACATGTATTTGCGCTTAATTTTTACATAACTTGTTTGTTATACAGATACTTTTAAATTGTATACATAGATTATATGTTCAAAATAACTTTGATAAGTATCATTACTAACTATGGAATTTTAAAACCTTTATGAGATATGGTGTGATTGCCATTAAAACAACTATCCATAAAAACTAATGGCAATGACGTGTAAGGCCTTCAACAATGAGCAAAATCCATACCGTACAGTAAGCTATACACGACTCCGGTATGTATGAAGACAAAAAATAATTCAAAAATGAAACAAACGGACTAATTTATACAACAAAAACAATGAATAAAAAAGATATAGCTGACTGAAACTAACGAAAACCACTGATTACAGATTCCTGGCTTGCGATATGCACATACATAATGTGGCGGGGTTTAACATGTTTAACTTGAGACAGCAGCAATAACACGCAATGAAAAAACAAACTGTAAGCATCAGTTTTAAAAGGACTTGACTCCTCATATATGTACTAAGCACCACAAAAAAATATACCAAAACAAGATAAACGACATAACGCACTGATCTAAAAGCTAGTTCAAAGCCCAACCATTTTGAACTACTAGTAATAAATAAAAACCATGTTCTCCCAGACAGTTGTTTTCATTTTCCTTTTATTTTGTTTTCCCCTAGTACGACTCTGCGTATTTGTTAATATGTAGTTTATAAACATTTTCATGAATTTATTATTCTATTTCTGATACTATTTGTTGTTAACTTGTGACTACCTTTTTTTTAGTAAACACTGTTCTGTTAATTGTTCTTATTTCAGTTTACGTGGATGCATCAATAGAATGTTTTCTGTTCTTTTTTTATTTGATTTTTTAATAATGATTACCACCTATTCAAAATCATCATATTAATCTAAGGTCGCCTATAGAAAAGAATAAATAAGATATAAAATGTTATGTATATATGTCAACTTACTGCGCTATCAAAACAGGGTGTCAAACCATCTTGTGTTAGTGCACTGGTCTCATAATATACTAATCCAGCTTCTTTTGCAATTTTTTCTATTTCAGTGCGCGAAATACATGCATCTGGATTTGAAGTACGCAAATCTGTAAATATGAAAATTATTGCAGAAACTTAAAAACAATTTAAACTTAAAAAACTTCGGTTAATATTATACTAATACATCAAATATTCTTAATACTAGCCAATCACACAAATACAATAAGCTTTATTAATATCTTTAAAAATTAATTCTGTCTTTTGACCTTTGTACTCTGACACAATGTACTGCACACAATACATGAAAAGAAAAACAAGAGAAAAACAAACCAAATGAAACAAAATTTGATCTTGTAAAACATGCAGCAATATTATAAAAGTGACTGGGTTAGGAAAATGAGGTTAGGTTGATAAGAAAAGACTGGTCTTAAGTCTTTTTTTGTTAACCATTGGTTGTGCGCACGGTTGCCATATAATTTTTTCCAGCATTAGATTGGAAAATCATTAACAAAACAATAATAATTCAAGTTTCGGCTTTTTTAAGTTACCGATTCTTTAGAATTGATTGTGCTGTTACAAATGTTGATTTTAAGGCTGATTTAAAAAACTAGGTCATAAAAATTTGAGGTTCTTTAAATATGACCAAACGAGAGAAAAAAAAATAATTACGCAGAATGCAAAAAAGAAGGAAAAAGAAAAATACACGTACTTTTATTCTTGGCCACTTTTAATTTAGTAAAACATATCTTACAGACTGGACGGGAAGGGACTTGGTACAGCGAGGTCAAAAGCTATCAATATGTATGCTCTTTTAAACTACCCACAACATCATAGTTTCCAACAAAGTTAAAAACAATTTGGACTATCCGAGCTTTTAAACGATAAATTCAGAAACATGCATTCTGACGAACAGAATTGCATTTTTCGAGGAAAAGCCTATATGCTAAATTCTGGTTAAAAGTAAACTTTCTAAATGATGTCATACATTTTATCTGGGGTTGAATAATGAAGGAGTTTGCTAACCTGACTTGCAACCGACCAGAACTCTTGGACAGTCTGGTATGAAATGATCTATTTCTGGTATCCACTTTTCTGTTATGTTTTCTAGCGAATCTCTTCCACAAATGGAAAAACAAAGCAGAAGTATATCTGTTTGTGGATAAGACAGAGGACGAAGTCGATCATAATCCTCCTGAAAAAATTATATTAAACCAATTAGTAATGAATCTCAAGAACACAGAATACGCAAAATACAATGCATCCAGTTGAAATTTCAAAGTATACTTTGAAGTATCATTCGAACCGGTAAGAAGCTTTTAGAGCAAGGATAAAATATCCTGAATCGTCAATTTTATCAAAACATTTACTACACTTTTATCACGTAAAGAAGATTCAACAATGTGAGAGCATTATTTCACCTGCAGAAATCAAATTCAGATTTTTTTTCTCATTTCAGTTTTATGGTAATATTATTTATATAGCTCAAAATTTAAGAATTGTCATGTTTAATGTGTACGCTTAAAAAAGAGGGACGAAAGATACCAGAGGGACAGTCAAACTCATAGATCGAAAACAAACTGACAACGCCATGGCCAAAAATAAAAAGACAAACAGACAAATTATAGTACAGATGACACAACATACAAAACTAAAGACTAAGCAACACGAACCCCACCAAAAACTGGGGGTGATCTCAGGTGCTCCGGAAGGGTAAGCAGATCCTGCTCCACATGTGGCACCCGTCGTGTTGATTATGTTATTACAAATCCGGTAAATAGTCTTAATTCGGTAAGTCACATTCGTGAAAAGGGAAGGGTATTGTAGTTACGACATAAGGAACATATCCGATATCATCTGTGAAACGGTTATTCCATAACGGTCAACCAACTCGTGATGGCGTCCGTAAAATTTACGAAGGGATGATTTCAACTTCACCATTTGGAACTCTTGGCTTAATAGCTTCCTTGTGAGCAGCAATCCTCTATCAAGGAAATCATGATAGGAAACACAAGCCCGGGAATATCGTATCAATTGGGAGATATATACTCCGTATGCAGGCGCTGCTGGAATGTTGCTACATAGAAATGGAAAGTTCACAATTGGGAAGCTGAAATCATCTCTTTTGTCGTAAAGTTTTGTTTTCAACCGACCCTCATTGTCAATTTCTTGAGGCAGACTTAACTGTATCTGTAGTATCCTTTATCTCTAGTTCGATGGGATAGATTCGTTCAACATAGTCACCAAATTTTGTATTATTTAGTGAGAGAACATCATCTTTATAGCGGAACGTAGAGTTAAAGGATATTGCTAACTTCTAATCTTTCTTCCTAAGAAGTTCCTGTATGAAGTCAGCCTCATAATAATAAAGAAACAAGTCGGCAAGAAGAGGGGCACAATTGGTTTTCCATTGGAATTCCGACAGTCTGTTGAAAAACACGTCCTCCAAACGTAACAAATATGTTGTCAATCAAGAAATCAAGCATCTTGATAATGTCAGTTTCAGAGAATTTTTTGTTTGAATCAGAGTGATTCTTTACAAAGTAGGATTTATCCCTCCCCAAGACAAGATACTTGTATCTACGTTCGCCATTCTTTTTAATGAAACAAAGTAATACCAACTCTTTCAATTTGTCTTTTAGTTTGGAATGGGGAATACTTGTGTAAAGTGTAGAAAAGTCAAATGTTTTAATACTATTGCAAGATGAGAGAGTCTTAGATTGTATGTACTCTAAAAGATCTTTGGAATTTTTTAGTATCCACATCTGATTCACGCCACCTCTAGAATAGGCAGTTTCACAATAACTTTGGAGCCCGGCTTTGACTGCTGATAAAATAGATGTTAATAATTTAGAAAGAGGTTTCGTGGAGCACTTGGAAGACCCAGCAATATACCGTTGTTTGTAAGGACACTTATGTAGTTTAGGTATCCAATACAGTGATGGAAGATCCAGTTCTTCATCTTTGGATGAAATTCCAAAGGAACATAGAACAGACCTATGATTATCCAGGATTTCCTCTTTGGTAAGTGTCGTGAGGGTATATGATGAGTTTCCAAGTGAATTGTCAATACCTAATTCATTTATCAAGCAGTTTATGTAATGATATTTACACACAAAAACGATGTTGTTTGGGGCTTTATCTGCGGGGACAACAACATATTTGTCATGGAGGTAGGACAAGTGTTTTGCAACATTTGGGTCTTTAAAAATTGATGTAGCGTGGGTACTGATATGCCCATTTAGTTTCTTAATTCGGATTTGTATCAACGACCTCACAGCCTTAATCCATTCGGAAAGAGTATCTACGTCTTCTTTCTCGCGTTTAGCCCATTGCCTGGCATAATCCTCGACTGAATCCATCAGTATTTTGAAGTTGTATTTCCAATTGATGGATTTAGGCTCACGATATTTCGGACCTTTGGATAACAAATTTCGCAGGGAAGTGTTATTGACAATGTTGAGGTCTCCGGTAATAACGTGGCCAGCCGGATTATATGTGAATTTGGAACTAGCACAGGTGCAATCAGGAGGTTTAGACTTGAAGTCGTCAATGTTGAGATCTTAATTCTTAACTTAAGAATAGATTCAATGATGACAAGACCGTACATTCCTGTACAATTTACTGAATATATGACATCTACTCTGAAGTGAAACGATTGCTCGAATTTACTGAAAGCTCAAAATATTTAACATTTTGAGCTTTCAGTAAATTCGAGCAATCGTTTTTTGTTTGTGTTCGTGTTATCTTTTAATATGTCGTTATGATGGAGCTATGTGCTTTTCCTGATCTTTTATATGTCGTTACGATAGAGCTAATTACCTTTCCTGATCTTTTATACCGTTACGATAGAGCTAATTGCCTTTCCTGATCTTTTATACCGTTACGATAGAGCTAATTGCCTTTCCTGATCTTTTATACCGTTACGATAGAGCTAATTGCCTTTCCTGGTCTTTTATATGTCGTTACGATAGAGCTAATTGCCTTTCCTGATCTTTTATACCGTTACGATAGAGCTAATTGCCTTTCCTGATCTTTTATACCGTTACGATAGAGCTAATTGCCTTTCCTGATCTTTTATACCGTTACGATAGAGCTAATTGCCTTTCCTGATCTTTTATACCGTTACGATAGAGCTAATTGCCTTTCCTGATCTTTTATATGTCGTTACGATAGAGCTAATTGCCTTTCCTGATCTTTTATACCGTTACGATAGAGCTAATTGCCTTTCCTGATCTTTTATACCGTTACGATAGAGCTAATTGCCTTTCCTGATCTTTTATACCGTTATGATAGAGTTAATTGCCTTTCGTGATCTTTTATACCGTTACGATAGAGCTAATTGCCTTTCCTGAGCAAAGTTTTATTGCATATTGTGCTTTGCACGATTGATTATTCCACTGATCGAAATTTAAAAAGGAAGGTTTGAGATTGCAAAAATCTAGTACTTAACTTGTGCGGAGACCGGATTTTCGTCAGTTGTTGCCTTTTGGTTTTGTTATTTCGATATTTACTGTTGATGGTAGATCGGTGACAGTTTTTGATTGATTTATCAACCTTATTTATACTGGGTGATTTAAAGGTTGATAAATTGTATAGATACCAGTTTATAAGTGGAGACTGATAATTGACTTCGTGGTGTCTTACTTTTATTTGTCTTTGGGTACTGTCACATAGACGTATACGCATCATTTATTTTTATTCCTACATTTTATATATTAAGCTTCTTCATTGAAGGTATGGGCAAGACTTCACTATTATTTGTTAAAACTAGATGAAGAGAAACCTCTAAATTACAGAAACATATGACAAAAATGAAATATGAAAAATACAGACCTGACCAGCAGTATCCCACAGCGCGACGCAAATAGGTTTTCCGTCGATTAAAACATTTGCACAGTAGTTGTCAAAAACTGTTGGCACGTACTCACTCGGGAAAGAATTTGTTGTATATGATATCAAAAGACAACTTTTACCAACACCACCATCTCCTAGAACTAGTAGTTTTATATTCTGCATTTCGATCTGTAAAAAAACGTAATAAGATTAAAGATCGCAAGCCTAAACGAGGAAACTTTTATTAGAACACAGACATAAGCAGTATTTTACCATGCTGATTACTTATTTTACAATGACTTACACATCATATCGATAACGGTTCTACATAACCCTACCCATAGGCATCAATCATTTTGTACTTTGTTTGAGAGATGTTTCTTTATCAGGACCGAGGCTCAAATCATGTAATCTGACGTGCTTTTTCGCACTTGCTGTTGGACCACAAAAAATCTACAAAAAGGCCATCAGTCGTCGACTAAATCCTGTATTAGGGACTTGCTGGTGAGTCTCAAAAAATGAAGCCAGACGTCAGACCAATTTCAGACTAATGTCATGGATCTTTGATATATCAAACCTAGATGGTTATCAAAGGTTTCTGTCCCCTGCTTGCATGCTTTCTTTTCTTTGATTTTTGTATGAAGATACCAAGAGAGGGGAATAATACAAAATATAAATCAAAGGACAAACAAAATCATGATTTTTTTTTTATAAAAGACTAATGATAGCATAGTAAACACTGAAAAGAATAAGAAACACAAACTTTGCATAACACGAGGCTAATAACGGGTGTTCCAGAAGGAAATCTATTAAATCCACTTGTCATGCTACTTTTGTGTAGGCAATCATGCTTTTGGGGATTCCGTGTTATTGATTGATTGATTGTTTGCCTATCCTCAAGTGTCAAATATTTCATGAAAATTTATGAAGAGGAAAAAAGAACTTGTGCGTAATATAAAGCAAATTATAGGATGTTATTAACTTATTTCTCACATAATAATATATTCCTTCGTAGTAGATACGCCCATATTTGCAAATTTCTCACATAATCATTTTCCATTTGTAGTATTTATAGGTGCCATACCTCACTAACATATTCCTTCGTAGTAGAGGTGCCCTACGTACATTTGTTATTTCTCACATAATCATGTTCCTTCGTAGTATAGGTGCTCTACATAAGGTATTTATCACAAAATCATATGCCTAAATAGTAAAGGTGCTCTTCATAACGAATAGAAGACAATTTGCTTGTACAAAGAAGAGAGCTCAATTGATAGATTTAGAAGACTCCTCGTAAATTTGCAAACTTCAACTACAATTGCGGTGTAACATAATTTCAAGAGGAATTAAGATCCATTACACTTTTGATTGACGAGGTACAGAATTGCGAATTGTAGCTGATATTTATCCTCCCCTACTTCCACTCTATCGTAAAAATCAATGTACGCCATAGTAACTTTATTATGGTTACACAACGCATAGGGTAAGTCTATATCGATTTTCGAAAATAATAATATTTTTAATTGGCTGTTTGATTAGTGTAAGGTCTTACCTGTAGTACTCGTTGATATAGAGCAAATTTTCTGCATAAATCTCAAGTTTATAAATTATATATACCCTAGGATTCTAATAATAGTTTTCACTCATGAATGATCTAGTTTTGACAACCAATGATAAGTATTCTATAAATAGACAATAAAATAAACTGTATTTAAAGCCAGTGAATCAGATAATAGACACCAGTTAAAATAAAATAAGAAATATGCCACAAAGTCAAATGAATGAAAAGATTTATTCAGGAACATATATTAGACATATGATCTTTTGTGTCTGATAACAAAGAAACATTTGAACTTCAGTCTAAGCCTTATGTATGTCTTGAATCACAGTCGCTTGAATTTTAGTGATAAAAATTTGAAAAAAAAATAGTAATATATATATATATATAATACACTATTTTTTAAATTTTTTTTTCATATTTTTATCACTAAAATTCAAGCGACTGTGCTCGAATCAATATATATTTTAAAATAGAATCAGTTAACTAATGTGAAGGCTGCTTGCTCAGATTTTTGAAGAACAATTTTGATGTGAAGAATTGTCGTCAAACAGCACGATTGTTTATGAAGATAAAGGGAGTTGGGATATGTACAGTTAGTCTTCAGATCTGCCATTAAAAACTCAATTAGTTTATCATTAGTGTTTGGTTTTTTTTATTGAATTTTCTTCGTTGCTACCTGGTAGATATTACTTATAATATTTCTTCACTATTGGAGTTGTTTGGAGATCCAGCCGAAAGGTGTCCGCAAATGACGAAAGTTATATGATGATGAACGTATATATTGGTTGATTGTTTGGAGATGCAGCCGAAAGGTGTCCGCAAATGACACAAGTTATATGATGATGAACGTCTATATACAGTATTGGTTGATTGTTTGCAGGCACAATTAGATAATATATTTGATATACATGTATGTTTAATATTAGTGTTTCCTTACATTTGACTCTGGGATATATTTCATTTCTTTTTCCAAAGCAAGAAAGCGGAAAGCCGAAAACGCTAGGCGTAAACCATTTCTCGTTTTCGTATTTTTTGTCTATAGGCGAATTCGCGTAATCACGAACACTATATAAGCTCATATAGGACCTCCCGAAAATATAATTTGAATTCGAGATCAGAAATTCAAATAAACTGCTGCGCAATGATACGTCCTTCTTTTGCAAATTGAAATTGTTGCAAGAAAAAAAAGTATAATATTAAAAATAAGTTTGATGAGCCCTGTAGAAAAAAATGCTTGAGGATATCCTTAGGCATATGAATATTTCTTAAAATATGATATTGGAACATACTCTAGAGCAAAATCAAAAGGGGGAATAAAGTGACCAATCCCACTTGAGCTAGAGCGTGACGTGTGAAAATTTGACAGTTAAACTCTGGTCAGGAATAAAATACATGTAATAGAAAATTTCAAAATAACAACCACTTTCACAAATTACAACAGTTTTGTAAAGTTTCAAGTAAATGTATCAAAGCATACTCAAATTAGTGTACAACATGTGAACAAATCAACTTAAATCAGACAGTTAAAAGTCCCGTAACTATGGAATGACAAATCAGAAAATATTTAAAATAAAAAGGAAGTTTCCTGAAATAAATCACAATGACAAAAGAAAAGTTTTTAGTAAATCAATTAAGCATATACTATGTGGTATATGAGAAAAAAATCCCATCATCTAAAGGTCAAAGCAGTTACTTTGGAACGACAAATAATAAAAAATAACGCCACGAAGCTTTCTTTCAGTGTCAACCCCAACAACATCGTAAAGTTTTTAGTAAATTGATATCAGCAAACTCTAGTCCAAAAAGTGACACATTCCCACATACAATTAACTGATTGTCCCCTAAAGTAAGTGAAACATGAAACATATCCCCTTTTTGGTAGTGTACATATACAATTTCAAACAAACTGATCAGTCAAAATGAAGTCTAGTATCTTGATGCATTGAAATATGAAAATATCATAGCATAACAATGAGGGATAGATGCAGTAATCAGTTTCACAAAAAATCTTACGACAAAAGTTGAACGTAAGTCATGAAAAAAACCCCAGTATAATTCATGTCCAAAATCTTCCACCCCCAACTAATCCCCCTCAGAATCAAATGGTCGTCCCCTTAGTGTGGTTTATGTGAACAAAAATGATACATTTGAAGGTTTAAGTCCTTTAAATCTGAAACAATAAACTTCCAAAAAATCAAAAATATCAAAAAAATCAAAAGGAAGCTTTCTTCCGTTAATCATTATAGTGTGTAAAAATTTAAAATTACAGAAATTAGTGATAATTAATTGTTCAAATTCGTTAGCATGGTACCAGTTTTTAAAAATTCGTGTTCTCGAATCTAAATTATATTTTATGGAGTTCCTACAAAGGCATTTCGTGCCATTCTGCAACTTTTTAATTTTGTTTATCAGATTTTTCTTCTATAGCATAACACAGGTCACACCTGCAAACAAGGCAACTGATGGTATAGGCATGTTGTATCCGTAACTATACTCCAAATCCAGTAACCGATTTTTGTTTTCTCATATATATAGAGTGCGAGGAGGTCTTCTAACACGTTTTCTAGTTATTAAGAACTAGCGGTTAACTTATGTGTTTAAAGATATAGACAAGGTTTGTCTTTTTGCTGTGTATTTTAATCAAATATTTAACCTGCTACATGTAGTATGTGTTAAAAGATATAAACAAGATTGGTCTTTTTGCGTTTGAATTTCATCAAATAGCTTTCACTGTATAATCTTAGAACACGTATGACTGTTTGTAAGTAAGAATTTTTCATGTAAAACCGAAAAATCTGTAATTATATTCTCATAAAAGGGCAAATCCTGTAGTCATATACACACACATACCGCTGTCGTTCTACATCGTTCAATCCTTGTTAATTTCTTTCTTTCTAAACGATACTTTTAAGGGATATTTCATGCCCCATATATTTTTCAAATATGATAGTTCCTTTTTTCTTTCGTCAAATATCTCTTGAAAAATACAATACAGAAGGTGTTGACGAATGTCCCATAAAACTATTTTGACACTTTTTGAACCAACGATTAACTGTTTTTACCAAAAATATAGTTCAAAGGAATGAAAGAACATATCGTCGTTTAATCAATTTTTAAAAGAAGCATATGTTCTGAACATAAAGATTCTCAGCAAGATAACCATATACATAAAATTGCTAATAAGGAAAAGAAGAAGAAGAAGAAGAATATTTATTATTCCAATAAAGGGCCCTTGATCGGCAGCATAACATGTAGACATAAAACAATACATCATGATTTGTAACAGAAAAACACATATTTTTTTTTATACATTGAAATGAAACATTAAAAAGTTCAGGCATGTTATTATCTCCATTCTATATAAATCAGATACATTTAATTCCAGGCAGGACCATAACCATAAAATCATTACAATTATCATTGTTATTACATACATTAATTTACATTTCGTCTAACATCTAGACATGTAATAATATAGTTCCCTTAATATTTAAGTATACAGACAAATTATCATTAGTAAATAACCAAACAAATTTTGCCTCATTTGAGAGATATGAAAAATTAGGACAAATACTGTTCATCTCCCTGAAAAATATCTCCCTGTCATCTTTAAAATTGAGAATGGAAATGGGGAATGTGTCAAAGAGACAACAACCCGACCATAGAACAGACAACAGCAGAAGGTCACCAACAGGTCTTCAATGCAGCGAGAAATTCCCGCACCCGGAGGCGTCCTTCAGCTGGCCCCTAAACAAATATATATACTAGTTCAGTGATAATGAACGCCATACTAAACTCCAAATTGTTCACAAGAAACTAAAATTAAAAATAATACAAGACTAACAAAGGCTAGAGGCTCCTGACTTGGGACAGGCGCAAACATGCGGCGGGGTTAAACATGTTTATGAGATCTCAACCCTCCCCCTATACCTCTAGCCAATGTAGAAAAGTAAACGCATAACAATACGCACATTAAAATTCAGTTCAAGAGAAGTCCGAGTCTGATGTCAGAAGATGTAACCAAAGAAAATAAACAAAATGACAATTATACATAAATAACAACAGACTACTAGCAGTTAACTGACATGCCAGCTCCAGACTTCAATTAAACTGATTGAAAGATTATGTCTTCATCATATGAATATCAGGCACAATCCTTCCCGTTAGGGGTTTAGTATCATACCATCATAACATATATGAGAAGAACATAACCCGTGTCATGCCAACAACTGGTTTTTAAATAATTGTGTTTAGTGCCGATGCAAAGACCCTATAAGTGAATCAATATTAACGCCAAAATATGCAATCTTTAATGACCTGACAACAGTATCGTAACTATATCCCTTCTTAATAAGTCTATTTAAAGGTTTTGTTAGCTTCAGGGGTGAATACTGACATTTTTGTGCTTTATAAAGAATATTTCCATAAAAAATTGGATGTGAAATACCTGAACGTATAAGAAGTCTGCATGTTTAGCTATATTTACGAATGATGTCCTTATATCGATGATAAAAGTTAGTAAATGTTTTGACTAGTTTGTGATATCGAAAACCCTGGTGTAATATTTTTTTTGTATGCTTGACAACTAGTAATAAACAGAGAAGATATCGGTTGGCGGCGTGAAAATTGGTTTATGTCATCTTTTTCCCCTATTACTGAAGAATCATGATTAAGTGTTATTTTTCTTGTTTAGAAGACAAGCTGCATATATAATTGAATACCCTCCAATACATTACACAAAATCTGTACAAAACTGTCCAAAACAGATTAAGTAAACGGCCACTAGGATAACATATTTAGCCCTTAATATTATAGTTGTCATGGTCAACATGGTTAATCTAAAGTTGTATGATAAATGAGAAAAC